TATATATATATATATATATATATATATATATAATTCATTTTAAATTAAATTAATTATAATCAATTATAAATTAAATGTAATTAAATATATTCTTTCACAGTATTTTTGTCTTGTTTTCCAGTACCAACGTTCTTAAATCAAGACTTTATCAATTTAATCAGTTAAATCTTAAATCAATCTTGAGATGCAAAACGACACAAGATATTTTCTCTTGTTTTCTGACAAATTGATTAAAACTAGGAGAGCTTTTGATTCAAACAATAAATATTCCCTTTTACTTCAAATCATTTCTGTCACCAATTTTTTTTCTTTTCCTGATGGCTGCTATTTTTTTTTTCTTATTTTTAGTAAAAACACTTCATTTTAATCAATTTGTCAGAAAACAATAAATATTCTGTAATTTTGAGTGTCAAATGAGCATAAACACTTAAGTTTGATTCATTTTTCAGAAAACAAGAATTGTTGCTTCTTAAGTAAATGACTTAAAAATCTTGATTTAAAAAATGTTTAAATATTTGTATTGAAAAACAAGACTAAAATACTAAGTTATCATTTTTTGTAGTGCCCAGAACAATAATAGGATGAGTAACTGATCATAGAATTTTAATGTTGGTGGTGAACTATCACTTTAAGTGACCGGCTAATTGCTTTATATAACATTCAAATTCTAATAAGCAATAACACACAGATTTAGAATATTGATATTGGATAATGGCATGCTCATTTGAACTACGAAACAGGGTTTTACAGCCTCACATGACAGTGTTTGGCTTCCTATGCGACATATAAAGCCATTGAGTGTTTTTAATTCCACAACAACCTTAGAGAAAGGCCGTCAGGTCACATTTCACTAACCACCTTATCAGCAGTCACTAGAACCAAAAAAGGTTGTAATAAGCAGGCAGTTCATTGGCCGCGTCGATCCAAAGCCTCCCTCCTCCCAGTCTGGCTTTCTCTGAACTTTGAACCTTCACAATATCCCTGCTAAGCAAATTAGCTTATCCTGACCGCCGAGTTCAGAATTCTGCAGTCATTAGCATGTTCCTCTGTAATTAGGCCAATAAGAAAATGTTGCTTAAGACAAACACCAGAGTAAGAGAATAGATGCTAAAATACACAACTTGGGATTGCATTGATTTCTGTTTAAGCCCAGAGCACAACTCGCTTATAAAACAGAATCAGCTCATCGGGACTTGTCAGTATACAGCTCAGAATTAATTTTAAGCATCATGGTGTTGTTTTGTGAGCCTGGAGTCATTTCCCAAATGTAGACAGAACTGGAGTGTATGATATTCCTCTGCAATCCTCACTCATATGGTACAAAGCTTATAGTGTACACAAGCCTATATTTGGATGGGCTTATAACAATTCATGACGCCAAAAACCTTAAACCTCTTGCATATGGGAGCTTGGTTTACCCGGCAAATGAAATCTGAGACGTGTAAGGCATCAACATACTGATACTATAGAAAAAGCAACACAACACGGCTGTATCGTGTTACTAGGCTATATATGTAGCACAGATGTATAATTGGGTTTTGATTTACACTCTGCTATAGACTATGCTTTAATATAGAACTTGTTTTTTGCAAGTTATTTTACAGTTTTTGCATTATATGCATGTCGTTTAGAAAGCAATGCATAGTGCATAACTTGAAAAGTCGCAAGGTAAACCCACAGAAATGAGTGTACTAGTGTATTTGCATAGACGATGATGATGACGAAAGCACGGCCAGCCAATAGCGTGCCAGTATTTTTTCCACGCAAAACACACAAGGGCAGATCACACCTCAGTGGACAAATGACCAAAGTCACTCCGCTCTGTCCTTGCGCTTAACGCATTTATTTATTTACACCTTTTTATCTACGCGACGCGTCTGAAATTAATTCAAAAGAATTCTTTATTCAGAAGCTTTCATCTGAATTGATATTAGGTCGTATTATAAGCTGCAGCGCTACATTCAGATTTAGCGATAAACTGTAAACATCGCGAGGTGTCTCGATAAATCAAATACACAAAGGAGCCAGTATATTATTGTTATTATGTTTACATCGCCTACGTGTGGGAGGAAGACCCTTAATACATAACTAGAAACGCCAGCCATAAATGTACTAAACGCTTATTGGTCGAGGGGCGGGTCTTTTGGGTTATCGACGTAGCGCGCAGCCAATCAGCACGGAGAATTTGAGGCAAATATATGACGAAAGCGCGTTTGTCCAATCGTAAGCGCCGCTGGGGTTCTGACCTCTGAAAACCGCATCACCGCCCCCATCATGTCCGTGGCGGAGGAGCGCTATAAAGGAGATCCAGTCAGGAGTTTAAAGGGCAGAGTTGTAAAAACTCCCAGGCAGTGGGGAGTCGGATTGCCTGACGATAGACTCCAAAAAAATACCACAATTACCCGAAGAAAAACAGCTAATATTGATGCAGCCTAACTGGAATAATCTTTCCGATAACTGTTAGCAAGGAACCGAAGCGGAAGCCACCAGAAGAGAAAAACACGGTCGTTTAATGTAAGTATCTGTCATTGAACCGTCGTAATGTGTCAAACTGAGGCGTTTGTTGTGGGTTAAGCAAACATATGTATATCGTTGCATCTCAATGGCATTGCGTCAAAACGCTTGTTTACTCCAAAAATGTTGTATAGGCTGTACGGCTCGGTGAAACAAAAAGAGGCGTCAGGCAGAATGACAGCCTCGGTCACCATTCGCTTTATACAAAATGCATCAAAAGTCAATAGTGACCGAGGCTGTCAGTCCCCTAAAATGTTCCTTTTGCTCTCCACGAAAAGAAAGCAAGAGCAACGAAGGCAAACATCCGAGAGAATTTCCATATGAGTGCGCTATCGCTTTAAGAAACTAGATTTATTTCAGATTCTGTTTGCCAGCTTGAATGGAGACCTGGCTGTTCTTGATAAATGATTGGTTTTCTCATGAATTCGTTTTACCCAGACTCTCTAAAACCGTGCAGTCATATGAGCCTCTCTCTCTCTTTTCAGTGTGTGAACGCTGTCTTCTGTTAGAATCCTAAAACATTTACAGCCTCAATGTTTATTTATATGAAACCCGTCGTTTATTTCTCTGGAGGCTCGGCGCTATGTACTGTAGGTTTCTAGCGCGAGCGAGTTCGTCTGTTTACAGAAAGCGTCCAGAATGTTCCCAATCCATATTCATAACAACAATGGCCGCGTCTCAATACCTACGTTCGACGCTCACTAGGCGCAGCCGCCGTCTGAACAGCCGCACTATTTTACGTCTTTCGCTCGCTCTACGTGACCAAATATCGAAACGCTATCAAAGATTTAGCGTCATATTTGGTGTACGGTTATATTTGGGCAAGGCTACACACCCCACGCGGAGCGTCACGCTATTGGTCGCGATCTTCGGGAAATCCGATCGCCGATCTGTTGCGCAATGTGTGTCGCATTGTGTTCGCATGCCCTATATTCACATAAAGGCGTTTTTACGCAACAGTTGACGGAATAAAGCAGGGAAGAGAATCCGTGTTATGTAATCTCCCTCGAATCCTGTAGATGCACGGTGCATTTAAACCGACTTGAGCACGCATTCAGGCCTTTTATTGAGCTGTGTTTGTTTACATGGGTGAACCTGGACCATGAAACCAGTCATAACTTTTTGAAATTGAGATTTATACATCATCTGCTTTCCATTGATGTATGGTTTGTTAGGATAGGACAATATTTGGCCGAGATGCAACTATTTGAAAATCTGGAATCTGAGGATATCAAAATACTGAGAAAACCGCCATCAAAGTTGTCCAAATGAAGTTCTTAGCCATGCATATTACTAATCAAAAATTGATATATTTAAATCTTCATGGAACATGATCTTTACATAATATCCCAATGATTTTTGGCATAAAAGAAAAATCTTATCATTTTGACCCATACAGTGTATTGTTGGCTATCGCGACTTAAGACGACTTAAGGTTTTGTGCTCCAGGGTCACATATGTAGGCTGATTGGTCACATTCATCTCAATACCTTGCCTCTCTTCCCCCTTCAAGGAGCACGAGGAGATTTTCCTGCGGAGCAACAAGCGTTTCTCGTCCACCAGCACTTCTGAGTCCCCACTGATCACTACTGCCTTGGAGGTTTTTGCAGCACTCAACGAAAGCAGCTATGCAGCTTGAAATCCAAGTAGCGCTGAACTTCATCATTTCATACCTGTACAACAAACTCCCGCGGCGGAGAGTCAACATCTTCGGCGAGGAGCTGGAGAGGCAGCTGAAGAAGAAATACGAAGGACACTGGTACCCCGACAAGCCATACAAAGGATCCGGGTTTAGGTGCATCCATGTGGGCGAGAAGGTGGATCCGGTCGTGGAGGAAGCAGCCAAAGAAAGCGGGCTGGACATCGAGGACGTCCGCAATAATTTGCCTCAGGATCTCAGCGTTTGGATCGACCCTTTCGAAGTGTCCTATCAGATCGGGGAGAAGGGAGCGGTTAAGGTGCTATACGTGGACGATAGCGGAGAGAACGGCTCCGAGCTGGACAAGGAGATCAGAAACAGTTTTAACCCGGAGGCTCAGGTCTTCATGCCAATAAGCGACCCGGTGGGCGTCTCATCCGAGTCCAGCTCGCCGTCGCCGCCGCCGTTTGGCCAGTCTGCGGCCGTCAGCCCGTCCTTCATGCCACGCTCCACCCAGCCTTTAACCTTCACCACCGCCTCGTTCGCTGCAACCAAGTTCGGCTCCACCAAGATGAAGAACAGCGGCCGAAACGGCAGCAAAGTCGCACGCAGCTCTCCCACCAACCTGGGTCTGAATGTCAACAGCCTCCTCAAGCAGAAAGCCATCTCCAGCTCCATGCATTCGCTCTACGGTTTCGGCCTGGGAGCTTCGCCTCCGCAGCAGAAAGCATCTGCCCTCTCGCCCAATGCCAAGGAGTTTGTGTTCCCCAACTTGCAAGGCCAAGGGAGCTCCGGAGGCGCGACGTTCCCAAGCGAAAACCCACTCAGCCTCAGTCCTCTGCAGTACAGCAATGCCTTCGATGTGTTTGCAGCCTACGGGAGCATCAACGACAAGTCGCTCGTGGATGGCTTAAACTTCAGTCTCGGCAACATGCAGTATTCAAACCAGCAATTCCAGCCAGTCATGGCTAACTAATGATTGTTGGCAAAAGGAAAACAAAAGGCGAAGACGCACAACTGTGGATGTGGTAACAAAGATCCCTATTAGTCACTGATAAGCGCATGTGCCCAAGGGTGTTTGTTTCACTTTATTTGATTTTTTTTTTTTCCTCTCTCTCTCTCTCTCTCTCTTTCTCTCTGAGGGTATGTTTACATGACAACAATGTACTAAAAACGGAAAAGTTTTTCCTTTGCGTTTTTCATG